CAGGGACTGCTGCATATGTGCTGGAGAAATCAATTATTCTTTAGGAGACTGTTATTCATTTTCCAACATAACAGATTGATCTGATGGACTGAATTGGAAAAGAAACAATGGAATCCATTTGCTCTTCCTGGAACTACAGAGAAAAAGCTACAAAACTTGCATATCTACTGTTGTCCCTGTTTTAATCTCAGGGTGCTCAAGAGAAGATTGCATTCCTAAAGTGGAATCCTTACTCTACAGCAGCGTTCTTAACCAAAGGTGATTCTGCTGCTCAGGGGACATTTGGCAATGTTTGGAAACATTTTTCACTGTCACAATTAGGTGTGGGTGGTACTCCTGCCATCTATTAGGTTAAGGCCAGAGATGCTGCTTAACATCCCACAATGCACAGGACAGCCCCCACAGGAAAGAATCATCTGGCTCAAAACATCAATAGTGCCAAAGATGCCAAATCCTGGTCAACAGGCACCACCAACGTCAATCTAAGCTATCACCAAGATGACCTATTTGCCCAGAATTAAGTTGATACTTAAAACTGGGATATTCAACAGAAACAAAAATAAAACAGCAGCTACTATTTATCATTGTGTGCTGAAAAGCCCGAACCTAAGCTAAGTACTTGCCCTCTATCTCATATAATTCTTAGAGAAATTTTGTGGGGTATTATTATTCCCATTTTGCTGAGATGAAAAGGTTGTAACTAGGCAACAGCCACATGGCATGTAATAAAGCTCTTACCAACACCACGACATTGCCACTTTCCAAACCAATAGTTACTGCATACAGTACAGGTATTTAAAGATTAAACTTTAATGATAACAGGGTAATGATCTGGGAACAGAGAATCTAGTGCCTAGAGACAGAGCATGATGAGAGAAACAGAAAGCCGTTAAGAGCTGTCTTCAGGAAAGTCTCTAGAGTGGACATTAAGCACCTACTCTTTTTTTTTTTTTTGAAGTGTTTTTTATTTATTTTTTTAAACTTATTTTATTTAACTTTTTTATTGAGTTAGTCAGTTTACAATGTTGTGTCAAATTCCAGTGTAGAGCACAATTTTTCAGTTATACATGAACATATATATATTCTTTGTCACTTTTTTTTTTTTTTCGCTGTGAGCTGCCACAAGATCTTATAAAGCACCTACTCTCTTGCTTTCAACTCCTTGGTACTTCCTTATCTTAGAAGAAGCAAGGAAGCATGAAAATGGCAGAACCAACATGTTTCCTGATTGCTAAACCAAAAACAAGAAAATATTTGTAGAGGGATAATGGAAGCAATAGACAAAGATAAATAAATACAGATAAACAGATAAGCAATTCATAATTCAATGTTACATCTGTAAAGAATCTTCCAGATCATCAGCTGATTCCAGTGCCTTCACAGAACAGTAGATGAACACAGGCCACATGGGAAAGGTGATTTATTTAAGGTCATGTAGTCATCCGCATAAAAATGAAAGAATTGCTGTGGAATGAAAACCGGAGTACATTTCTCCAATATGATACAAGTGATTAGCTTAGATTTAGAGAGGACTCGTAGGTTCCAACTCTCTCTTTAAAAATGGACATTTTCTTACATAGCTCAATATCATTATTACACTTATCAAGATAAACAATAATTTCTTCATACTATCTAATATCCAGTTCCTCGATATCAATATATCTATGTCCTTTATTGTATCAAAATGTCTTCTTAGAAATGGCCATCATTCAAAAGTCCACAAATGACAAATGCTGGAGAGGCTGTGGAGAAAGGGGAACCCTCCTACACTGCTGGTGGGAATGCAGGTTGGTACAGCCACTGTGGAAAACAGTATGGAGATTCCTCAAAAGACTAGGATTAGACTTAACATATGACCCAGGAATCCCGCTCCTGGGCATATATTCAGAAGGAACCCTACTTCAAAATGACACCTTCACCCCAGTGTTCATAGCAGCACTATTTACAATAGCTAAGAAATGGAGACACCCTAAATGTCCATCAACAGATGACTGGATAAAGAAGCTGTGGTATAGTTATACAATGGAATATTATTCAGCCATAAAAATGACAACATAATGCCATTTGCAGCAACATGGATGTCCCTGGAGAATGCCTTTCTAAGTGAAGTAAGCCAGAAAAGAGAAAGAAAAATACCATATGAGATTGCTCATATGTGGAATCTAAAAAAACAAAAACAAAAAAAGAACATAAATACAAAACAGAAACAGACTCATAGACATAGAATACAAACTTGTGGTTGCCAAGGGGGAGGGGGGTGGGAAGGGACAGACTGGGATTTCAAAACGTAGATTAGATAAACAAGATTATACTGTATAGCACAGGGAAATATATACAAGATCTTGTGGTAGCTCACAGCGAAAAAAAAAATGTGACAATGAATATATATGTATGTTCATGTATAACTGAAAAATTGTGCTCTACACTGGAATTTGACACAAAATTGTAAAATGACTATAACTCAATAAAAAATGTTAAAAAAATTTCTAAAATTTTTTTTAAATAAATAATAAAAATTTGCATAAGCAAAAAAAAAAAGTCTTCTTAGAGTTAATTTGTTAAATCAGGATCCAAACAGGGGCCACACACACTTGTGTCTCTTAAGTGTCTTTTCACCTAGAGGATTTTCCCTCCTTTTGTACCTTCATACCATTGACTTATTATAGAAACCAGGTTAGTTGTTTTATAATATGTCTCACATTCTGGATTTGACTGTTAACTTCTGTGTCTTGTCATTTAACTTATTCCTTTATCCTCTGTATTTACTGTAAGTGGAAGGAGCTTTAGAGATTCCAGTTTCACTTTTTTGGACAAGAATTCTTCACTGGATATTCCTTCCTATTATGTCACATCAGGCTCATGTCTGCCTTATCCCACTTTTCATAATGCTAGGATTGAACAGAGGGTTCAAATGGTGACAGCCTGAGCACTCCATCGACCTTTCAACTAAAACTTTCAACTACTGATAATCATTCCCTGAATCAGTTATCTCAGGAGGAGCTGTATGTATTGCTTTCAAATTCTATCACTCCAACCAATAATTTATTAGCTGAAATTCTTCCCTTATCTACTAAATCCATTTTGTTACTCTGAACTGCACTTTGGACAGGACAAGCAAGATAACTTTAATTCCTTCCTTTTACTTCCAATTTTCACTGTAAGGAGCTCGTCTCTTAGTTACTTTCAATAAAGTTTATTTCCAACTAAATTGGAGCCAAAATCAAAAATATATTTTTATAAAACATTTAAACAAAAAGGAAAAGAAATTCTGTGAATAACTCAACAAACATGTAAACACTGTTCAGTGACTTCAGATTTGTCCAGGGATATAAAAGTCCAAAGGCCTAGGACAATCACAGGACCCTCAGAGGGAGAGGAGTGTCAGGTCAAATTTTTGTTCCTTTGATAAATCAACATAAAGACCTGTTCAGAGCTTTAGTATCTCTGTAAAATGACGACTTTTATTCCAAACATGACTTGAAGGCAAATCTCAAACTGAGGTCTGACTTTTTTAATAGCTATACTGAAGTAAACTGACTAAACAGTTAAAATTGCCTATAAATACAATAAATTAATTGGAATACCAAGTGTGATGTGAATAAGAAACACCAACTGTGATATGAAAAAGAAATACCAATTATGATATGAATAAGGAATCTTTTCTTCAATTAAATGAACAGGACAAAATTGCAGGCTGCAATATTAATTTCAGAAAAAAAATTAAGGTGGAAAGTACTAAGAGCATCATTATATACTGATAAAAAGCACAGTGAGTGATAGGCACATAACCAGAATGAATGTATAAACCATACACACACAAAAATGCCATGCATAAAACAAGAACCATTAAAAATGTACGGGGGAGCAAACATAACTGTAATAGTAGTAGATTTTCGCCCCTGTCAAGCCGTCACAAATGAAGACAGCTAGATCTAAAAAACAAAAATTAGGTAAAAATTCGTAGTTGTGGCAGTCAGGAAACAAGCAGCTGAAGAATTATTTTTTCTCAAGTGTTCACTGCTAAAATCTGAAAAAAGGTATTGCAAGAGGCAAACATCTTACTCTACTGAGATGCAGCCAATCTGGCATCTACCCCACCACAACAGTCCCTGCTGCTTAGCTGGCCATATTTCTGCATCCTCATGATGCGTAAGGGCACTTAACTGCAGACCTTAGTCCACAACTATGAACCTATGGCCTGGTAATAAAAGGCAATCTGTTCAAAGTCTTGGGAATTTGAACTGAAAATAAGGACAAACTTGTGTAGTTTATAGTGGGATAGAATGAACAGGCGTGGAACGTGGTTGAAACACACCAACGGCAGAGGACCAGAGTGGGGATCCAGAACTCCTGCTCTGCGCTGTCAAGCTGTCATGGATCCAGAGCCCCCTTCCAGCTCCAGTCTCTGCTCTGGTCTCCAGGTCTGTCCTACGATAGCCCCAGATGTCCTTGTTACCCTGTTCTCCTTACTGTCCCTCAGATACCTGTATTGGTTTGCTAGGGCTGCCATAACAAAGTCTCATAGACTAGGGGACTTAAAACAGAACTGTATTTTCTCCCAGTTCTAGAGGTGAGACGTCTGAGATCAAGGTGTCAGCATAGTTGATTTCTCCTGAGGGACGTGAGGGAAAGATCTGTCTAGATTTCCTTGGCTTGTAGATAGCCATCTTCTTCCTCTGTATGTGTCTGTGTCCAAACTTCCTCTTCTTGTAAGGACATCAGTCATACTGGATTAAGGCCCACCTAATGACCTTTTTACCTTAATTACCTCTGTAGAGATACTATCTCTAAATATGGTCACATTCTAAGGTAGTCGGGGTTAGGACTGCAACATACAAATTTGGGGTGGGGAGAGACATGTTGCAGCCCATAACAATATCTTTAAAATAATCCCTCTTTAAGCTAGTTTAAGGGAGTCTCTGTTGGAACTGAGTAACTTTAACCAAAACAGCTACAGGTTCTGGTCTTCTATTATTTTTAAAAATTATTCATGTGTTTCTTTCAAACTTCCCAAAATTTTAAGCTGCAAGAGAGCAACAACATGCTTTAACACTTCACTGAATTCTGCCTCCACAGACCTAGTACAGAAAACATAAAAGGCACAGAGAAGAATTCTGTGGCAGATGCGATGCTGCACCGCACAGACCCCTCTTCAGGACTGAAGCTTTCAGTTCCCTAGCAACCAGGGGCGTCTGCTGTTGACAGTTCAAAGCCAAGTCCAAATCCAAGAACTGCGGCCAAAGCCACCTCACCCAAAGCAATGCCTGCTCCATGGAGGGAACCTTCATCCGGTCATTCAGAAGTCCAAGGGCCTGGCCTTCTAGTCTCAGTTGAGGACATCTTCAAAGGGCCACCCCAGCTCAGAGCAACTCGTGGGATTGGCTGAGGCCTCTTCTGCAAATACGTTACATCAGCTCTCTCTCTGCCCTATCCTGCTTCCATCCTCCCTCAAGGGGTTGATCCTAAGACCACTCCCCAATAAACTTCTTGCACACAAATCTGTCATAGAGTCTATTTCCCAGAAAATCTGACTCGCAGTATATTCTATGGCTAAACATTGTAAATAAACACGAGAACAAAAAAAATTGGAAAAAATAAGCCAGGTTACTTTGCTCTTTCCCACTTCTTGCTTTTAAAAAATCTTGCCCTCTTCCGTTTCTCTGCTAGAGAAAGGGTTCTGTTCCTTTCAGTGCCCTCCAACCTGCCTTGGGGAGGCAGCTACTGTACCCACCCCTCCCCACCTCCTCTTGGCTCTGGAGGCAGAAGCTCCAGACACCCTGCTCTCCCTGGACAGCAGGGGGCACCTCAAGCCCCAGCTCCTCCCCCTGGGTCCTCAGCTGCACTTCTCAGGCTGGTCCCTTCAGTGCCTGGCGCAGGGTGAAGACCAAAGAAGAGGAGGGGGGTGAAGCCAAGGAATCCATCTAGGAGATCTAAGAGAAGCAGTCCCGCCCCTCTTCTCCAGCTGCTCCCCAGCAGGTCTCTCCCTGGGAGCCTGAGTCCAGAGAACTGGAAGTGCTGACTCTGAGGACAGGAAAATGGGCCCTGCCGGCTATCTCTTCCTGCTGCCCCTTCTGCTGGGTGAGCCCCTGAGGTGGGGGTGGGGGCAGGGGAGAAGGGAGAGGCATAGGTTTTTTGGCTCAAGAAGTTACCATGTAGAGTAATACAATGCTTCACCCACGGGATGTGACTTTTGAATACGACGCCCCGAGAGAGTCCTGAGACGACCCTCTATGCCAGGCCCCAAGTGTTCCAAGGCTCTTGGATATAGCAAGCAATAAACACAACAAAGATCCCTGCTCTTGTGGGGCTTATAATCAATGCACATATTAAATACACAAATTATAAGGCAGGTTGGAAAGTAATAAACACTGTGACAAGAATGGGGCATCTAGGTGCAGGGACAGTAGGTATTATTTTAAATAGGGTGGTCAAGGAAGGTTTCACTAAGAAGTTATTTGAGCAAAGACATGAAGGAGATGAGTAATTTAGGTAAGAGGACCTAGGAAAAGAGCATTTTAAGCAGAGGGAACTGGAAGTACAAACGCTGTTCAATGATTATAGGAATAAGTTTGTTCATTTATTTTTCTGGCTCACAATGACTTAAAGGCAGGGTAGGCTAGGAGTAGCAAAAAGATGACTGCTAGCAAAAAAGAAAGCTACACAAATACTGCAAAATGCTAGTTTAGTTAAAGAAAACTCAGCAAAAGTAAATAGCTTATAAACCTCAAAATCATGGGAAGGCATTAATGTATTTACAACCTCACACATTTGATATTCCTGATGGCAACCATGAATCATCAAGTAAAAGTTCAATTACATTCCATGTAAGTCACCAAAGAAGAAAGGTATTTATGTATTTATCAAGATTCCCACTAATGTGTAGATATTTATAAAAATTTGGCCTTTAATACCAATCTGAGAAATTTAAATAGGCAAAAAGCCTCTCTGTTCAGTGAGTCTAGATATAAGATGTGTTATTATATATTAATGATATGGTGTATTTGTCTTAGGGTCTTGTCTATCCTTTTCTCTCCAAAAGAAGTCTCTGCAGTCAGGTAAGTGGTCTCCACTTGGGCCCAAGACTGCTGGGTTTGAAACTGGAATAGAATGGAGTGGGGAAGCTAGGGAGGACTCAGGTTGTGGGCATAGATGGGAGTTTGGAGATGATGAGAAGACAAGGATTAGATTAGACTTCCGTATTTGTCTCTTTCCTCTTTCTCCAGTGTGTGGACGACCCGTGTACTCAAGCCGTGTTGTGGGTGGCCAGGACGCTGCTGCCAGGCGCTGGCCTTGGCAGGTCAGTGTGCAAATAGGTGGGACCCACATCTGTGGGGGTTCCCTCGTCAGTGACAGGTGGATACTGACAGCAGCACACTGCATAAGCACGTGAGTTTTGGCTGATGGCTAGCACACAGATACGTTCTCAATAAATATTTGAATGAATTCATGAATGAACCAACAGACAAATGAAACCTAGGTTACCTTGGACTAGGGACAGGGCACAGAGGAAGAAAAAAAATGACGAAGATAGTCATCATATTAGAAGCTTTTCTTACTTTTCACCAAATCACTTCCTAAAGTCAGGGAATTTTGTCTTAAGCTGTTTTGGGTCACAACCACAATCTGTGAGAGCAAGGTACCATGTGGTGAGCTGTCACAGAGCGGACCATGTCAACTTGATGTCTACAGCCAAACAGCTATTGAGGACACAAGAGACCCTCCCTGAGTCAAGTCTTGAGATGACACTGCAGCCCACCTTGATTATAGACTGGTCAGAAGCACCCAGATTCCTGAGCCACGGAAGCTGAAATGTTTGTTGCTTTACGCCTCTAAGCTTTGTGGTAACTTGTTATGCCACAATAGATAACATATATACAGAAATCAAAGTGACACGACTTTTCAATAACAAACTGAAAGTTCAAAGAAAATAGAGTAATAACTTCAAAATGCTGAGAGAATTCCAACTTAGAATTCTACCTGTATTTACAAACTATCAATAAAGTGTGGGATAGAAACAAGACATCTTCAAATATACAAAGCAGCAAAAAAATTTCCTCTCATGCACATTTTCTCAGGAAGCCACAGGAGAATGTGCTTCACCAAAACAAAGTGAGGGAAAACATGGGGTCCAGAAAAAATAGAATACAACATAGAAGAGAAACCCCAAGAAAATCGTAAAGAAAAATGCCAAGATTGGAGTTAGAGAGCAGTGGGCTGAAAAAAAAAAAAAGACAGTACTGATAGAATGCCTAACTGGTATCAACATGTTGAGAGATTTACACTCCGGCAGACAGTTTGGGGAACAAATGATTAGTTAGTGACAGGTACAAAGAAAACTAAAAAAACAAAGAAAGTAAGATCACATTATTAACTCCAGGAGAAAACAAAAAGTTTTACATGAAATCTAATTACAGTACCCAATATAACCCAGTAGTGAGTCATGTTTTCATAGTCACAAGAACATACACATTAAATACGATCTAGCAAAAAGTTATACTAGGTTAGGAGGATGGTGAAAAGGAACTGGGGGCGGGGGGTTGTCAGCAACTGTTGGTTCAATCCTCACCTTCCACAGCAGGAATACAATATTCTAAAACTGAAAGAAAAAAAAAATAACGGCAATATATAAGGTTTCTTGAAAATACTAGGGAAATGCCAAAATAAAGAGCTAAGAGTTGAAAGCAACTGCCTTTGGATAGCATGGATTGAGGGCAGTAGGGCAGAGAACTTCTGTTATTTATTTTTTGTAAATCTTATTAAATTACTTGACATTTTAAATTATACACAGACACACATATAAAACTTTGGTGATTATATTTTGCTTTAATTTTTATTTAGAAATAAAGGTCTAGTGCTCAGAAATCAAAAGGGAAAATAAAACAATGACTATTCAGCATATAGTTGATGGCTGAACTTATGAAGAATGAGAGAGGTGAATAAGAGAAGCAGAGAAAAACTACAGGACAAAACTCTGGCCATAGACATATAAAAGGAGACCACAGAAACAGAGGACAACAAAAGAAAGAGTGGTCAGGGAGGGAAGGAAGGAGAAAGGAGACAAACCAACCCCATGCCAAGTTGGAAACAGCCTAGTTAATTTCAAGTCTGTTACACTCCTTTCTTGCCTGAAGGCTTAGTGCTACACATAGGCAGCTTGTTTTGACTCAGCACAAAAGCATGCTCCACTTTCTTTCTCTGCCTTCTCTTCCCCTTAGGAAATGGATTCCTTTCTTATATACTGTGTGGCTTGGATCAACTGAAATAGGCAGTTCAAATACAGGTGTGAGGCATCAAGTGTCCCGAATCATCCTCCATCCCAAATACCAGGGTACCACTGGAGACATCGCCTTGTTGAGGCTACTCTCTAGAGTCACCTACAGTTCTTCCATCATGCCCATCTGCTTGCCCAATGTCAAACAGAAGTGGAAAGTTCCAGACTTCTGCTGGGTGACTGGATGGGGAAAACTGAAAAATGAAGGTGAGAATGGATGGAGAAAGGGGCTGTTTTATATATCGCCTTTGTATACCCACGCCAGAATAGTCACATTCTCGGCATCACATTACTATGGCAAATATTTTCAACAAAACCAAATCAATCTATTGATACTATCTATAAGTCTTCAAATAAAATGTTTATTTATATGTTTATTTACTCTTATATCCTGCCTAGAGTCTAGTATAGCTGCAAGAGCAGATACTCACAATTTAAACACAATCTATCCTCTCTGAAACAGATGTTAAGAAACCTTATTTAAAGTTTGGAAAGAGTCTAGTATTTTTTTTTTAATCTGTTTTTCAAGTGTTGTGTCAACCCTTTCCCAGGATGGAGTAAAGGTAAGCCAGGAAATGATCTGGGAGCAGAAAAATGGGAAAGGAAAAAGTTAGAATACTTCAAAATACACACATCTTAACCAAAATGTATCAGAATTTCTCTTTATTTAGAACATTAGGAAAGCCCCCATGTGGCACATTAGGAAAAACCCAAATAGAATTTGAACTACTCATTATTTTAGATTAACTGTTACCCCCGCCCCCCCAAAAAAAGACTCTTCCATTAGCCAACATGATTGGAAAGTGTATTCTGCTTTTGGACTCCCATTGAGAGATTTCAGTGTATCATGACTGAATGTTGTCCCTGCACCTTTAGGTTGCTTTTCCTTTCATTCCTATTTCTCTCTACAGATTCTGATTACGCTTCCACCCTTCAGGAAGCAAAAATACCCATCATTGAACGCCAGACTTGTGAAAAAATCTACAATCCAGTTGGTTTCTTATTGCCAGAAACAGAGCCGGTCATCCAGGAAAGCATGATTTGTGCTGGTGATCTTAAACAAAAAAAGGATGCTTGCCAGGTTAGGGTTTGCTCTTGAATTTTTTTTAACATGAGATCTTAATTTGGATCCAGTTTCTCCCATCTGTAACTAACAGTGAATTTGGAAATCAGGAGACAAGGGTTCTGACAATAATTCTTGTCTTAACCTGGGTAAGTCACTTAACCTTTATCAATGAATTTAACCTCTTCAACTATTGATCTAGAGTAATGCTTACCACTGGTGTTTGGGTTTTCACAATCTTGTATATTTCTGTAAATATATTAAGAGGTTAATGTAGAACTGCCAACCTTCTCATTGTTTCAAGTAAGAAACATTTCATTGTACACTTAAAAGATGCCATTCCATTGTCTCCTGATCATAACTGTCTGATGGAAAATCAGCCATCATTTGTGTCTTCTTCCACTGAGTGTGATGTGTTGTTTTGCTCTGGCTGCTTTCATTATATTATCCTTCATATTTGATTGTTACAAGTTTGACGGTAATGTGCTAGGCGTGATTTTCTTTGTCTTTATCCCACTTGGAATTCACCGAGTTTTTCTTTAATCTATTATTTTACCTTTCATCAAAACTTCGGAAATTTTCATTCACAATTTCTTCAAATGTTATTCTGCTTCATTTCTCTCTTTTCCTCTTCTTGTTGAAACAGGAAATTTATAAGTTACACCTTTTGGTATTTTCACACTGGGCCCTGATACCCTGTATTTTATTTTTAAAACCTTTTTCTGTTTTTCAAATTGGATACTTTAATTGATATTCACAATCATTGTTTCTTTCAACTGCAATCTACCTTTTACTGTTAAGTTCACCTAGTAAAATTTTTATTTCATGTATTTCACCTTTTAGTTCTAGGATGACCACTTGGGTTTTATTTCCTCCCCATCCTCCACATCTTTCTATTTCTCAGCCAAAACTTCCTATCTGTACTGTATATTCATTATTTAGAAATCACAATGAGACAACTTCACACCCACTAGGATGGCTATAATCAAGATAGGTAATAGTAAGACTTGACAA